TTATTTTCATGTTGAATTATGTTCGTTACACGTGGAGTATTGAATTCTACCCAGCGAATAATCTTATATGGGTTTTTTCCTCATTAGGATATTACATGTAACACATATTTTTGTTGAAATTTATTGTGAAAAGTATGAAAAGAAAGCATTAAAACGATTTCGCTTCACTTGTTTCATGCTACAAAATCGATTCTTTTAAGTTACAATAAACGAATAATTCAGTTTAAATAATGTATTGGGCTAGTGGAATCGCGAAAGTTTTGATTGCTATTCCTCCGGATTATAGCGAGTTCAATTCACTTCAAGAATTCGAAGAACAGTCACGCTCAGGAGAATCCATAGATCCCGGAAACACGGATTCTTTGCATACGATTATAAAGCTAAAACGTAATAAAATCGGCAATTTATTTGTCACCTTAACAAAAAATTCTGTACAATTATGGAGCGTTAGGGTAATGCACAACTGTTGGAAGAACCTCACAAATTACTTGCCAATTTTAATTTTAATTTTCAATATACTTGGAACAAATATTAATTATAATTTTAATTATATATATAAATCATTTGTAGCCTGCGGCTATGATATCACAGGTATCTCGAACCGTGAAATCTGTCGAAGAGTACGGTGATAATTGCGATGTTTTTTGGAAACCTGATGGTTCTCTTATTATGGTTCAAGTAAGAATTGATATTTATTTTTTTTCCTTTTGAGAGTTATCTTTTAATAACTTTACTACGTAATTGCTAGACAACTCAAAATTGTTTATTCACTTATTTGGTACTCGCTTTTGATGATAAGAGTTATAAATATCAATTTGGTCAAGTATCTCATCATTATGTTACGGGAGCCGGGGAGGGTAATGGGATAAGAACATTTTTATTAAAGTTCCGAATGACAATTAGAATTGATGCTGGGATGGAGGCGTGAGTAGGTTTAGATTATGTATGTGAATTGGAATATAAAGTAATTTTTTTTATTTATTAAATAGTAACATTTAACATTTAAATATTTATAAATAGAGGGATTGGAATAGAAGAATTTTTAATTGTTACAACTAAAACTCCTCCTGCCATTCAATGTATACCTTGGCAAGGTGAGCCAAGTGGGACAAAGACAAATATATTGGCTCGCTTGGAATTTTTGGAAAATAAAAAAGGTTAGGATCTGGATTTGTAGAAAAAAGGGATCCCTTTATTTTTTCCCGATAATTTCATGATTAAATAGTTTGTTAAGCGTATAGGATATACTATTTATCTATTTATCTGTCGTTTTCTATAGTTAAATAAGGTTGAAATAATAATCTATTAGTTATTATTATATAGTTTGAAGATAGACCGTTGTATTTAGATTTCATGTAAATTTCTACTTTATTTTATTTTAGCTGGAATCTCGTTTATTGTGTATGACCGACGAATAAATCTTCATGGATGGATAACTACTGACGGAAAAGCTTATGCAGTACAATTTAATGAACATCGTCCTTCGGTAATTATTAATTAAATTTAGCATGATGATACGTTAAGTAGTTCTCTATCTTATGAACTTATTCTTTTAGGTTGAAAATAATCCTAAAGCTCCGCCACTTTTTTGGACGGGGTTCTGCTTTCATCCAAGTGATTCAAGTGGTGACCTTGAACCTGCCAAGGATGTCCGAGCAACTTGTATAGCTATCAATGCTAAATTTTCTTTGTTGGCTGTGGGGACCGAAAAGTAAATAGATTCATATTTGTCACATTATAATTTTATCTTATTTATTTTATTTTCGATTGACTTTATTCTAAATCTTTATTAGTGGAATGGTTTATGTATATTTTGCAAAGAATTATAGCGGAAGTATTAATCTCTCACATAAATTGTCAATACGGGACCACATAGAGTCAACGTTAAATATCCTTTTATTTTCGACTAAGATATGTTGTAATATCTTTCATCGTAGAGAATTTTATGAATGAAAATTTATTAATTGTTTTAGCCTTAACTCACATATATACTTTCTACAGGACCTGTTACAACGCTTGCGTGGACTTCTGATGGCCACGCAATTGCGGTTGGATGGAAACATGAAGGATTAGCCGTTTGGAGCGTTTATGGTAGATTATTGATGACAACTGTTAAGGATGATTGGTCTATATCAAAGTAAATCTACTATTTTATAATTAATTTAGGATACTAAGTAAAGCTTCATGAATTAACTTTATTTCTTATAATTTAATAGACCAATTACCCAAGATTCCTTTTTGTATGGCGTTAATGATCTTGTAAGCGAAAAGAAATTGATTTAAAACTCATTATTTTTAAATATTAAAATCAATTTGTTTACATAGTTTTGGAGTTCAGGAAATTGTGAACTTTTCCTCTTACATACCGCAAAAGATGAAAAAGGTAATGTTAGATAATGGAAATACTGTATTTAAAAATTGTAGGTTTTATTCCATTAGTAAATTTTGGAACATGCAAAATTCAACATTTCCGGAGCATCTGTTTGGGTTCAACGTTAATATGGGATGCACTTTTTTAACTATCATTGTCCAACCTGATATAACTGATGGTTAATATTACATCATCAAAATTTTTCGCGCTCGTGCTATGATTAAGTCGTGTAACCAAAATTGCTTAAGTAAACATTTTGTTAAGTGGGGTGATCAATTGAATGAATAGATAATTATTCGGTCAAGTTAAGATCTAAGAGATAAAGTACTTACATATTGATATTAATTAAGTGAATCTTATCTTTCTTTGTTATGTTAATCAGAAGGTCAATTGTATACGCTTCCATTTGCTAAATCTGCCGTTACTACGATTCACAGCCCAGTTAGTATTTAATTTGAACGCTTTTATTATTTATTATTATTTATTATTATTATTTTTTTTAAAAAATAATTACAATTATTTATTTAGGATAACGCAAAAAGAGGATTTTTGCATATGGACGATCGTTTGTTGCTTTATCGAGGAGGAGATCAAGAAGACCTTAGTGCGATTAATCCTGATACTATAGTTTGGCAGCATATTCCTGTATGTAATAATAATCTTTAAATTTAAATTTATAAAGTTATTTAATGAAATACTTCTTTATAACATACATAGATACCAATTATGTATATCAGTGACAATTGGCCAATAAAGGTGACTAATATATTATTTATTATAAATATTTTTTGTATATTGTATGTATGTTAACTTATTTGTCACATGTATAGTATGCATCGATAAGTAGTGATGGTAGATATATCGCGATCGCTGGGCGACGTGGTTTAGCGCATTATAATGTTTCGTCAGGTCGATGGAAACTTTTTGGCAATCAGCAACAGGTTCGCTAAGGAAGGTTTTGGTCATTTTCAATAATGAAATGGTTTATATTGAATTATTTTTACAGGAACAAGAATTCACTGTTCGTGGTGGATTATTGTGGTTTATGCAAATTTTAGTTGCAGCATGTGAGAATGTTCGAACTCGTACATTCGAGGTGAGTGACGGTCAAAATCAATTATCAATATATCTTTTAATAAATTTTTTTTTAAAAAAACAACTTTTTTACACTAGATACGAATGTATTCTCGTGAAACAAATTTAGATAATATTCACATGGTGCAAAGTATTGTTATACCAAGCACAATATTATATTTAAGTATAATGGATAATGCTTTATTGGTGTATTGTGGAGATAATATGATGTATCATTATCTTGTATCGACAGATGAGGATTCGGTTTTACTCGAATTATGTCAACAAATTTCATTTGTTGGTGTTATCCACGCTCCAGCCAGAGTTAGATCTATATCATGGTTCCAGCCGAAACTACATAGTAAATAATTAACGGTTTTACTCTGTTTTCATGTTTGTAGGTTAGATTATATAAATGATTTTATTTTATTTAAATAGGACCCTTCACTCCTGAAACCATTCAGTCAGCTTCTATTATCTTTTTAATTGATGGCAAACTTGTGCTGCTACATCCAAAAAAGGTAAGCATCTTATATAATAATGATTTTAAACATATAATTCGTTTATTAATTATTATTATTATTCAGAGTGATGAAGGTGAAGTACAATATGATTTACACATTCTCGCCGATAAGATAGAATTTTATTGGATGTCTACTCGTGGAATTGGAAGTTTAAAGAATTCTTTATGGGCATGTGATGGACAAGGAGTGAAAGTAAATATAATTGACTTTGCTTTTAGGTTGCTTTTCCGATCATTTTCATATGTTCAAAATTCTTTGTTCCGATAGATATGGATGAATATTTGGTCTAACGAAGAAAGTGCGAGAGATTGGCAGAATGATGTTTTATTATCTGCCACTAAGGAGTGTTTACGTATTTCACTTGAATTTTATCCTTTATGTAGGTCAATTAATTTTTTATATTATTTATTTATTTAAGATGATATATTAAAACAGTCCTTTTTTTTTTTTTTTATGTCATGTAGCCGTTTTGCTTGATAAAGGTATTATCGTAGGCGTTCAACAACAAACATCTATTAGACAATCTTTAGAATTTCCAGTATTTAAATTAATGACAAACGTAAGTTTAACTAAAGTTTATTAGAGAACTTATTATTTATTGAGAAATTATTAACCATAAATTGTTAATTAGACACATTTGTTCTTACAACATATATTACGGTATATGTTGTCCAAAGAGTAAGTACATTTTGATAAATTTGATATCCTCTTGTGACTTTGACTATCAATTTTTTTTTTTTTGTTTTCCTTCCTAGACTTGAAGAAGAATCCGTTGCATTTGCAACAAGTTATCAAAAATTAGTTTACTTTGGACATGCAGTTGAAATGTTACTACATCTTGTATTGGAAGATGAAGCAGAGCATGCCATTGGGACTGCTCAAGGTATGATACAAGTTTATACTAATTACTCACTTGTTAGAATGTTAACATCAATTATATTAATAATAATAATATTATTATTATTATTATTATAGGAGCCGTTCTACCAAGAGTGGTAAAATTTTTAAATAATTTTCCACATTCACTTGATGCTATTGTTGGATGTGCACGTAAAACCGAAGTAGCATTGTGGAGTTATTTATTCTCTATTGTTGGAAGTCCAAAAGATTTATTTGAGGTAATGTAGTAACAGAATTAACCATTCCCTTTATTTCGAATGTTCAATATATTTTTTATTTAAAATCATTAAAATCTAAATTGATATCAGAGATGTCTTTCTACTGGATTACTTAAAACGGCTACATCATATTTATTGGTTCTTCATACGTTAGAACCAGCTGATAGTAGTAAAGATACCATTAGATTATTATCTAAGGCGATGGAGACGGAAGATTACGAGGTAAATAAAATTATACGATTATAATAATTTGATTAACTAATAATAATTTGCTATTTATTTAATTGGTTTAGTTATGTAAAGAACTTGTGAGATTTTTAAATTCAATAGATGGTATGTCTTTTGTCAAATGTAAAAAATTTTTTTTTTTTTTTTTTTTTGATATTTGAACTCTTTTTAAAATTTAGGGTCTGGAAAGACATTAAAAGAAGCAATATTATCTATTCAACAAAATATAAATGAAAATTTGGAATCACCTACATCGTCATATCATAATATTAATAATGCAAATGGTAATGTTGATAATATGGTTTTTGAAACATAATATTCATTAATCATTTATATTTAAAACCGTTAACCGTAATATCTATCATTTTATTTATTATTTTCATAATTTGTAACGTAAAATAAATAAATAAATAATATTAATCTTAATAAATTAATAATATACTGCAAAAAAAAAAAAAAAAAGGAAATGCACCTTTCAAAGTTTTCCTTTTTAAATTAAAAATATTATATTAAGAAAATAAACGTTTTTCATAACTGAATGATAATATTTATAGTTATTAAATGTGATTAAAAATCAAAAAAAAAGATCGTCGTTCGTAAAAGTTTAGATATATACTTACGAGTATAAACCATGTACGCCGCCTTCAACTTGAGCAGAAGCAGTTCTTAACTCGAACCTAATTTTACCGCTTTTTACATCATCTCTTAATCTTTTTAGATTTTTTGCACCGATATCTTGTAATCCATGTTGAAGTCCTGAAATAAGGTAAGGTACGAATTTTCTTATACTACCTTTATCAACCACAGCACCCGCAACCCCTTGAGCTACTTTTACCACATCCCTTTCACTAAAATATCTTTTAGCGGCATTATTATCATTAGAATTACCGGAAGAAGTACCTTGAGAGCCATGACGTTCCATTGCGTCTAATGAACCCATGCCTCTATATTTTTTCAATCGTTGCCCTTCATGATAAAAATAGTCTCCTGGAGATTCAGTCGTTCCTGCTAATAAACTACCCATCATTACTGCTGATGCACCTAAAGCTAATGCCTTGGTTATATGACCAACATTTTGTATACCTCCATCTGCTATTACTGGTATACCAAATTGTTCAGCAAATTGTGCTACTTTATATACCGCTGAACCTTGTGGCCTTCCGACGGACATGACTTTGAAATCGAAAAGGAAATAAAAATGATGTTAGTTGAATAAACTCTAACCTTCAAAAAAGAAACAACCAAAAAAAAAAAGAGTTAAATATCGTATACTTACTTTCCTGAGTAATGCATATACTACCACTACCCATACCAACTCTTAATGCATCAGCTCCGGCTTCAATTAAAGAAGCTGCTTGTTCTCTAGTGACGACATTACCAGCAATAATATCTAAATTATCACCATATGTATTTTTAATATATTTAATCATTTCAATTTGATATGAACTGTTTCCTTGACTTGAATCCAAGACTACTATGTCCAAACCGGCATCAACCAACTTTCTAAGACGTAATTTGTCATCGGATCTAGTACCAACTGCCGCTGCACAAATTAATTGCTTTGAATGTGGTGATTTTGATGCCAATGGAAAATTTAAATTTTTTAATAAATCGCTACGTGCTAACAAGGATACTAATTCCCCTCTTGCGTTTACAATGGGTAATTTTCCGCGTTTACTTGAACGAAGAATTTGATTTGCTTCATCCAACGTTACTCCTTCTTGTGCTAGCACCAAATCTGTGGTCATCACATCTTTTAATAATGTAGTATCATCTTCGTGAAATTGAATATCCCTTGCCGTTACAATACCCATAAGTATGCTATATAATTTCCCATTAGCTAAAATAGGAAAAAAAAGTAAGTCACGTGAATAATTAAAACAATGGATCATCGACAATTGATTTTTTTGATGTTTTAGATCAGATAAAAAAAATTTTTTTCCACAAGGTTAATTAAAACCATTACGGAAGAACGAAAGTTATTACAATATTTTTTTAATCATCATTTTCAGATAAAAAAGAAAAAAAAGAACATTCAAAAGGAAGGAATGAAAAAAAAAGAAGAGAAAATATTTACCGGTTATTGGAATACCACTATAACCAAATTGAGCTTTGATTCTACGTACATCGGCAACTGTATGATTTGGTGTTAAACAAACAGGATTCGTGATAAACCCATTTTCAAATTTTTTAACCTTTCTAACCATGTCAGCTTGTTCATCAGATGAACAATTACTATGAATAACTCCAACTCCACCAAGTAACTATATATTACAAAACATGGTTTAATAAACTTTTTCTTTAAACGAGAGTGTGGTCAATTATTACTTACAGCCATGTTTATAGCCATGTCGGTTTCAGTTACAGTGTCCATAGGAGAACTCATAAAAGGAGTTTTTAATACAATGTTTCTGGTTATTCTTGATTCTAAGGAAACTTCTGATGCGGGAAAATCAATATATCCTGGTAGTATTAAAAAATCATTATATGTTAACCCTCCATTTTTACGGTTATCCATCATTTCTTCTGCTGATAATCCATCCGCCTCACTTAGATATTTTGTTGCTTGTCTAGGGTCTAAAAATTTAGAATTTGTGGGAGTAAATTTAAGGTCATCATTATGAACCATTTTTAATGGTGAAATTTTTTTTTTTTCCCTGTGAAAGAAAAAAATTCTCGAAACTTATCGGAAATTTTAAATATGCACATCAATATAGTGAACAACTAAAATCGTATGATCACACTCAATTGGTTATTGACTTTATTGTAAGCACCGATCAATCAGGATTGTGCATTACACCCATCAAAAAATTAGGGATGTTTACTGATTCGCCTTGGTGATCACATCCCTCTGTACAACCTAACGATGTAAATAACATCATGTCTGAAGATATTTTACCATCTCTTGAAGAAATCAAGAAATTTGACACATACTCTTATAGAATTTTTAGAGACAAAATTTAAATCTTAATAATGACAATTATAACAAAATCCGCGATGAAGAAATTAATGGTGAAGCTTTTATTTATTTGACCAAAGAAGAATTAAGAAATTATGGAATGAAAGGAGGGTCTACAAAGAGAATAGCAAGGTTTATCGAAAGACTTAATGTGATAAATGGTAAGCCTTTTGCTTTTTATGCATTATTTATTATTTTCTATAAATAAAACGTTTGGTTTATTTGATTTTATTTAGAGAATCAATTACTTAAATGTAAAGCTTCATATGGAAGACATACAAAAAAATTTTCTTTTTCCACTTCCTTCAGAGAAAACTTGTGGAAACAATTATGTAATATCATTAAAGAAGAATTTGATACAAGAAGTTGAAGATGATTTAATTGAAATAGTACCAGAATCGTATACAAAAATTAAAAATAAATTAGCATTTGAAAATTTTATAAAAACAATTCCTAAGGATCAAAATGGTTTGAAATATATCGAATTTAAAGTGGAATATTGCGAGTATTTTCTGCTTTTATGAATATTGCTGAAGTCATCGACTTCTATTTCAATCAATTACTTCTATGTAAATAATTGTATATAGTTCAACAAGACTTTTCTATATACAAGAGGTTAATTCAACTTGAACCAATATTTGGAATAACTATACGTAATTTTGAAAAGTTGCCTCGATTGAACCTTCGTAAATAGTAATTATTGTAAATTGACATTTTAACAAACTATATAATTTTCTAATTTGTTTATTTGAACATTTTATTAAAGCTTCGTAGGCAAATATATCATTGTATGATGATGCTATCACTCTTGCTATAAAGAACGTAAAGGTATTATGGAATTCTTTTTTATCTAATATAAAATATAAATCTATACTTATAAAACTTTTTCAATTAAGTTATTTTTAAAAGTAACTGGAACAATTGATGGACGTAATGAAATAGAACGTTCAAGATTTATTGATACCATCTTGTGCAATATTGTCTCGACCTTCAATAGAGAAGAAAATGTTAAATTATACCTTAAATTTGTTTTAACCAGTCCCTATGGTAAAGGACGTACAGATTTTTTTATTAAGTGTGATGATACAATAGTCTGTATAACGGAAGTCAAACGTACAGATCTAGAATATGGGTTTTGTCAAAACCTAATTCAATTGCAAAATGCATGCAAAGTAGTGTTGTCTTCAAAATATAGTTTTACACATTACTATTATTATTCATTTTAATTTAAAGTAATTATTTTTTTTTTAATATAGGAAAATATTCGTAAAAGGAAACGAGATCAAGATGATATTGAATATGTATATGGCATTGTATCTACTGGTGAAAAATGGTATTTTACATTAGTTTCTTCTGATAATAGAGTAGCAAAAAGTGAAAAACCAATAACCTTAAGCCTTTGATGATGATGATATTGACGATGATACCCTTAGGAATCAAGCAGGAAAATTATTTGCTGTGATTCGTTCAATGCTTATAGAAAAATAACAAGTATTTCAGAAAATTCTGCTAATAAGAAGCAACGATTAAATGAACTTTTGCATTAGACAATATCATTATTAAAAAATCATTTGGTATCATCATCTTATTTGTAAATTTTATAAAGATTTTGATACAAAATGTATACTGCAACTAAGCTTTTTGTATTGTTTAAAGAGAAATAATCTTGAATTTATTGAAATAAAATAACTAAAATAAATGAAAAATATTAATTTCTTGAAAAAGTAAAAAAAGAAACAAAATATTACAAGAATTTAATATATCATTTATATATAGGATTATAAATATATGAAAAATAATAATTATAATGGTTCTAATAATTATAAAAAAGCAATTTATTTTTGTATACTTTTTAAGAATTAAGAAAAATTTTTTTAAATTTGAGTATTCTTTATTATCAATTAATTTTATATTTTTTTTATTTTTTTTTTATTTATTGCTTGATTTAAGATTAAAAAAAAACTGGTTGAACTTTTAATTCTCATTAAATATTTAAAATAATAAAAAATTTAAATTAAACAAAATATTTTAATGCTATATAAGTAAAAAAAGATTTTTAATACTTGAATATTAAAATAATTTTGGAATTTTTATTTTAAGTATTTAAAAATATCAATATTTTTTCTTTAAAGCAGTTAATCTTAATATAATTAAAGTTTAAGAAATTGTTAATGGATTTTTTGCTAAAATTTTATTTATTAAAAATTAAAAAACAGATATTTTAAAAATTAAATCTTTATCTATTTTAGTATTAATCTTATTTCATTAGATTATAAAAGATAATAATATCTTTATAATAATATTTACTTATATTTAAAAGATGAATACAAAGATATTAATTATTTAAAACTAATTATATTACTATAAATAAAAATAAATAATGATAAATATAATAATAAAATTAATTTTTAACCAAGAATTTTAAAAATTATTTATAATAAAAAAAATATATTTTTTCTTAAGATAACTGTAATTCATAAATTTTAATATATCATAATACCTTTTTTTAAAGAAAAAAAAGTAAATATATTTACCTTTTACTAAATAATACTAGTAAATTTAATTATGAAAAAATTAAAAAGATTAAATTAGTCTATGAAAAGTTTTAATAATTATTTAAAGAAAGAAAAATACATTTAAGAATCATTAATATTAGATATAATAAGTAATATACATATTTTATCTATTATCAAAGATTTGTTAAATTAAATTTAATAAAGAAGTTAATAGTTAAAATTGCATTAGAAATTTTAATTAAAGATAAAATATTATTTACTGTAATCAAGTTAAAATAAAAATAGATTTAGAATAGTTATATAAAATAAAATTAAGAAAATTATTTAAATTTGATGTAAGTATCAATGATGATACTTCTTATAATATGATTACTAAAAAGCTTTACAGGCTTCATTATATCATGATACAGTTCTAACTTATATTTTTAAAATAATTTCTTAAAAATATCACAAACTGATCCAAGTATATTTGTAAAAAGTTCTGACTTAATATCCAGAACACCTAAACAAAATTAGATGATCGAATCCAAAGTTCTTTACATTTATTTCTTCAAGTTCCATTTCTATTCTCTCTTACATAATTTTCCTATAACTAGTACTCTTACTTATGCACTGACTAACATTACGTTTTAAAGATCGTAAATTTGTATTTGCATCTTTATACTAGACTTCAGTATCAATTACTAATGCTTTATTTCTAAGAATGAATATAGATTTTTAAATGCTGTTGTAATCTAAAATGTATTTAAAATTAGTTTTTCAAGACTCGTTTGACAAATAATTTAATTTTAATCACAGGATCAGATTAGGTTTCCATTTTCATAAAGTTTCAAATGCTGACTAAATGTTTAATATATAGCTATATGCTGATATATAGTTAAAACTAGTTACTACTGTATGGAAAGTAATAATATTATAACAGATATCAGCCTTTCATTAGTAATATATCATATTAGAAAACCTAAAAATAAAAGTCATCATATCATACATTTATCATAAAATAATTCATCACTATATTCGTTTCACCAGTTTTTTTCTAGTATCAAAACTTCGAAGCTTCTTTATCTGCTTAATATCCTTCAAGAAGACTCATTCTAAAACTCTTTATAAACTATTTTCAAAGTTCTCCACTTCCTTTTTGAGAATGCCTGTCCATTTACTTTGTTTTACTTGTACAAACAATACTGTAAAAATTTCTTGTTTTCTTACCTGTTCACTTTCACTTTCTCAATATTATTAAACTTTATCAGTGAAATTCTAAATATGAATGAGTATCCAAAGTTTTAGGTAATCTGTCATTAAAGTATTCTTGTAATCTGTGAAATAGAATTTCAAACTTAATATCCAATCTTAAAATAATGAAGTTATTACATATAAATTATATATTGTATTTCAAATCTAGTCTCTATCAAAATCCCTTAACCTATTGAAGTTTTAATTCATTTAATCAGGACTAAAGATTTATTTCTGAATTTCTGAAGTGATTTTCTATTGAAACAACATACCAGTTGTTAGTAAAAAAAAAAAGTTATATAATATATAATAAAGAAATAAACTTATAAGGTTGAAGTTATTTAGATACTTAATCTAGTCAAAAGGCATTAATAGCATTTTCTTGACTTGAAAATGGCAAATTTTGCATAATTCGCTTTTAGTAAAACATTTTCTTTCAGGTAATGATGAGGAACGAAACCCCTTAATAACAGTCGAAACTTAGACGAAACTATATTAAAATCATAATAAGGGATACGACGAAACCCTTTCGATACGACGAAAGCTGAAACTGTCAAAACTATATTAAAAATATAGAAAAGGATATGATGAAATTATTTTGAGGAGGTTTCGGCAGGCATCTATAATTGAAGGCGATTCTTTGCACAATAATTATAATAATTTAGAAAAGATTGTTCAGTTTTAAGTAGCCAGTACAATACCAAGAATATTTAGAATCATACCAGATTTCATTTGATGCTTCATATTTATCAATATGAAAAGTTGTCACATCTACCAGTTGTATGCTTAACATTATTATTACATCAACCAGATCTTTCTTAGAAGGTGATAAGGAAAAATCACATTTCTCAAGTCTTTCCTGAACCAGTTCTAAGAAGAAGTATTCAGGCCAATCAACATCTTCAAATTTGTTAAGTACAAGCCATTATGCCTGAATTTTATTCAATTCAGTAGTAATATGAGAAATTTTAGTCACTTCTTTTTTAAGATAATCAGCTTCACAATCCTGTAACTTTTTTATAATAAAGTAAGCCAAGAACTCCTGATGACTGAATTAGGTACAGAACTATCTAAATCATATGAGATTTGTTTTATTTTCTTAGATAGATAATCATTTTTCACAATTTCTTAGGCAATTTTATTAACAGTATCCCTGCCTTCTTTACGCTTTCCAGTAGGCTGAATAGGAATGAGAACTTCTATTTGTTTCTTAGTAAGCTCTAATAGCTAAAAATACATTTTAACATTGGATCTTACATTGTGATCATTCTTCAAACTTTTGCTAATTTCTTCTGTGTATTGAGCTAGTTCAGATGATAGAGTTTCGAAGATCTATTTATGGCTTTTCATGAAATCTGTAGCTACTTTTGTCATATTGTTTTTATGATACTATAGTCAAGAATATTAAAACGTACTAATTTTATATTATGTACAAAAAAGTTCAATTTGAAATATTTTCTCAGAATTATGCTTCTTCGAAAAGGGAAAATATCTGAGACAGGTATTAAGAAGATTAAGGAAACAAAAAAAATAATGATATAACCTATATAAAGTCTTTTACCCTGAATATCTTCAGTTAAGACCACCCGTTATGGCCAGAAATAAGTTTTATATCAATTGGAAATTCACAAGTAGATAGGATAAGTGAAAAAAATATAGCCATAGAATTATAATAATTTAGAATTTTATATAAAGAATATAAAGACCCTCTTATCCAAATACATTTCTTATAAACTGGCTTCTTATTTACTCTTTACCAAATTATACCATTCTCCTGTAGTATGCTTATATTTTTTTGCCATTTTTTATCATCGTAAATATACTTCTAGGATTTTCCCACATTTTTAAACTTCTAGAGATATATTTCTTCGCTTATTAATCTTTCCCTTTTAGTCATATAAAATAAATCATTTAGGTTCATCTTATTTTCTTTAGCAAATTCGATGACTTTTGCGTCCACCATCATCCTGTCTTAATACTTCTGAAATAAGTTGACGTCTTTTTCTGGAATCATCATAAACTTATCAGGTCTACACTATGATCAGTTGCCTATTTTCTGAGATATTCTTCATGCTGTTGTCTAGCCAGAAATATGAAAGAAACTTTTTTATTACTAGATTCGATATGTTTAGGGATCTTGTCAATTATTGGCTCAGATAGATTAGAAGTCTCAGATATCCTAGATGTTGAAGCGATTGGGACTTTCGCTTATTCTACCACATAGTCAAAAAGAGCTTAGGTCAAATCGTCCTGTTTATCTGCTTTCTTTTCATTAGAAAGAAAAATATTCTTTTTTGGCTATGATGAGGCGAAATTTGAGAGAACTTTTTCTGGCACATTGAATATAGGTATGTCTGTTATCTCATTGGCTGGCAATTCATCTTGAGGTATATCAGAAAATTCTTTCATATTATCTAAGGTAGATTCACAAAGCTTGGCTATGATCTTGGGATGATCAAAATATATTAATATACTCTTACTCCATTATTTTGTAAATGTGTCTGATCAATACTAATTAGTGAAAATTTCTTTTCAGCGATCTTATTAGTTAATGGCTTTTCTTCATTAGATCCGCATCATTCAAGATAATCCTGATATACTTTTTCACAGCCAAACCTGCTAATCTGATTTTTAGGTCAAGTTGTAATATAATCAAATAGGATTAGGAAGTTGCTTTCACATTATTTCTATCTTCATCTTAGTTGCAGGAATTTTTTCTAGACTTCAATTTAATAAATTATAGTTAAGGAAGTATGACATGATTACTTCTGATACATCAGGATGGTCTAGAATTTTTC